AAAAACTGTCTTCCAAGTAGACCCATGGTGCACTGAAGGGGAAGGATCTTCAAACTCGAGCTCCCACTCCAAACATGGAAGAAAGCAAGCCCACCGGAGTGGAATGCGAAATCATGCTGACAACTGCTGAAATCAATAGATGCCGAAAGGTCAACCATAAGCAACAAATTGCACTCATTGCCTCAGCCGCCAAACGACAGAAGATCGAAGTAAGAATGAAAGACCTGACAGCCAGCGAACGAAAAGAATTCGAACAAGCCAAAGAGAAAGTGGTGCATTGACCAAACCGTATGCTCCCTTCAGGAGTTCACATGTTTCATTGCTTTTGAGGCCTAGCTTTTGACGAAGTTCTTCTGCCGGTTCGATTGCAAGGATTCGATCATCCTGTTTGCTTCCTCGCAAGAAGGCAGTTGCGATATCGAATGATCTTAATGACCATCTTTGGGAAGCAATCATCTGGAGGGCTAGCATCCGGCTGTCCCGGCCAAGGGTGGGACTGTCCCGCTGCACGCTGTCCAGGTCGGGATCTTCATATCCAAGTACTACTAACCTGGCCTTTGCCTTTCTATGTTTTCCTGTTTCTTGGACTGTCTGTTCATCGAGTGGTTTCCAGGTCAGGATTCAACGTGTTCGCAGGATTTGGTGTTCAGGTACCTGGCTCCTAAGGATTCGACGAATGGTCTCGGTTGAGATCCACTGATTGAGTTACTGCTTTGCTATGCCGAGCTTCGTAAGGCACTATTAGGACTGGAGTTCCTCGTGTCTCCTTTAGACCCATGCTTGTTCATCCTGCCAAAGAAACCCCATGAACGACAGACTCATGACCCCTGTCAAATCCACGGCGTTCTGGGAATCCACGTAGATGATGGAATCTGTGGGGGGGGACGAAATCTTCGAGAAAGCGATTGATGCCTTGGAAAGAAAATACCCATTTGGGAGTAAGAAGAATCAGAAATTCGTCTTCACTGGAATCCAAGTTGACCAAGAAGCATCAGGGGACATCACCCTCAATCAGACCGAATATGTAAAGAACATTACCCCAATTGACATCCCACGGGAAAGACGAAAAGAAACCAAGACACCCGCCACAAAGGAAGAAATTCAGGCCCTTCGAGGGTTGATTGGAAGCCTCCAATATGCTGCCACAAACACTCGACCAGATGTGTCATGCCGACTGAGCCTACTCCAGGCTAAGATTCCAAACGCTGTCATCAGTGACTTGCTCGAAGCAGCCATGCCGATGTACAAATCCGAATACAATCAATTCCATCTGGGGATGTGAGGTTCATGTCATTTTCGGATGCCGCATTCGCTACACGAGAAAGGGCTCATTCACAAAGAGGAACCTTTATTCTAGCTACCACCCCAAAGGTAGAAGAATCACAAGGGTCTAGGGTAAGCCCTCTAGTCTGGAACTCCAAGAAAATCCAACGAGTAGTGTCAAGCACTTTAGCATCTGAAACCTATGCACTCTCAGGAGCACTCGATCAACTAAGTTGGATTCGATTGCACTGGAGCTGGATGCTAGATCCGCAAAGCGAATGGAGGACACCTGCCGAAACCCTGACTAAGCTCCCACAAGCATTTGCTGTGGTAGATTGCAAGAGCCTTTTTGACCTTCTTCAAAAGACAGCAGTCGGAGTATCGGACACTCTTAGAGGCCTTGGTGATAAAGGACAGACTCAAAGAAGGGATATTAATTAAATGGGTACACAGTGCAGCACAGATGGCTGATTCGCTCACGAAAGATATGGATACCACAGTGATGCGAACCTTCCTCCAACATGGAAGATGTCGACTTCGCGATGTCGAAGAAGTCCTCAAGCAGAGATCAGACAAACGTCTGAGGCAAGCGTGGATCCAATCGGCAGCTCCAGTGAACTCGCAAGTGTGTCAGTGTTGTGTGGGAAGTAATCTGTAAACGATTACTGGGGGTAATAACACTTGGAGCCACCAGGTCAGCCGAGGTTCAACCTTGAGCCAATCTCAAGCCTTGCATGTTTTGTTGATTCGTAAAACTCTTAAAGAAGAGAAAATTTTAGGAATGTTGATTTGTGCCTCCACAAAACCATCGGTCGCTCGATCTCGTCAGATGCCGAAGGGTCACTCGTTGAGTGGAAGGGGATGCATTTGATCCGATGCAATCAGGCTCGAAAGTCAGGGGGCTTGGTTGGCTCGGGCGAGGATGCCTGTTGTTCGTGGAGGCGAGGACGCCTGTTGTTCTTCGAAGGCGAGGACGCCTGTTGTCTTTGGAAAAGGAAGCTGCCGCGCTTGGGAGCGCGAGGTGGTGGGAAGTGGCCGGGGCCCGCGCCAGTGTGTGTAATACACAATGAATATATATATATATACATTATACTAGTATATTTAAAAGTGCATCTAATACATATATATATATATACATGTGCGGTTGTTGTTTGTTTAAGATGAGTGAGGTGTGTGGTCTGTTTTCAATGTGCGGTGATTGTGGTGATGGTGTGTGAATCGTGTTTGGTTTAAACACTTCGAAGAAGTTGGACATTGCTCATGTTTACGCCTTCAACATGTCATACTTTTGGAGACTCAGCTCTGCCGGCACTTCTGGTGGCTGCTGTTCGCAGAAATCTATTCTCTTAACCTTTTTTTGTCGCCTCTACATGTCTATCAGGGTGCTGTACCTTCTCGAACATCATTTGGTTGTCTCTGGGATTTCTTGTTTTCAGTTCTTTTTGCCAGAAGTCCTTGCTTCAGGTTTACGCTGAGTTTGTCTAGGATCTGTAGAATGTGAACCTCTTTCGAACCCGCCCCTGACTGCTCACACGCCCACGATCACACACGTGTCACATGCCAATTTTATGTTCCAGTTTTTAACCAAAGTCGTTTCATGGTTGAGTTCTGCAGCGGTTCCGTCGCAGTGTATGCGTTTCATCGTTGTGTGTGTGCACAATCGAAAGAACCGGAAATTTCCGCACTGAAGGAGGGGGCAAGTGATGCTTTTCAGGGCGTTCATGACACCTTGCATTTTTTGCGCTGGTAAAAGCATGTAGAACCATGTTGTTTTTGTGTGTGTGTGCGCACTTCGGTGATCTGTTCGTTCATACATTCATATCCATGGCTGAAACATGCTGAAACTGACTGTTCAACTACAAAGGGCCAAATGCAGACTTGGTGCAAACATTCCTGGTCCTTTGCAGTAGCACCACCACAGAGTTCTCACCATGACCCCATGTGTCCAGTGGCTTTGGATGCAGAGTGCGAAATTCACAGATAACGATTCAAGAGTTTCTTGAAGATGGCGGTGGACAATTTGTTTCGGTTAAAGTATGTTCCCGAAACCAGTGGAATATATTGTTTATGTTTAAAATTGTCAAATGTTAAATATGAGCGGCTATGTATAGTTAATAACACGATAGAGCAGTACAATATAGTCTAATACATTATGATAAAAATATATATATATGTCGATATTGGTCACTCCAATGCGACTTCCACAAGACAGCCAGCGAGGCCCACCTCGTGTCCTCCGTGTGTCGGAGCTGTGAGCGGTGGTGAGTGAGCATACATTAAAGTGCCAAAAAGACGAGACCGCCACCATTGCCATTATCCATTATTTCTTCATGTTCATTGACCAAAGGTACCTCGCAAGTCTCTTGAGCCCTATTTATTTCTGCCCCACCTGTCAGCCAAGGCTTCGGTTGTGAGTCTCAAAGGCAGCCTGAACCAAAGGTAAACTGGAATGGGTTTGTTGATACGCGCACCTATTCTCTTTATACAGATGTTGAAAGAGCCTGTAGAACCTCTCCAGCCTGATTGAACCAATATATCTTTTCCACTTCACCCTCACAATGCCTCACAAACCTTTATATAGTAATACTTGACGGGCTGTAGCTGGTCAAAAGGGGATCAGCCAGGGACTCAATCCATCTCGGTCAACTTCGCTTTCAAGAGCAGGCCGGACAGTTTGGCGTGAGAGGTGTTTTCCTTGATATATTCTGTGTTTTGCATCAAAGTGGCAGCCGTTCCATTTCAATGCTGCTGAGAACAATTGGCACAGACCATCCTCGTGCCAAATAAACAAAATTGAGTTTTAGGTTCGAAGATAAATTGCTCGCTCAACCCTTTCTTCAACTCCTTTCCTTTCCAAGGATCCTTCTTCCTTTGACTGTCCCGGGTCCGCATTGGCCAGTACTCTAAGACTGTGTGAAAGTACCGTGTTGTTTCCCAACTCCTCATTCTGCATCAGTAGTGGTCGTTGAAGCAGAATATGAGTGTCAGGCCACCTAACAGTCGTTTGACCTGCAACCCTTCCATTCCTCACCTCTCTTGGATCCTTACCTCTCTTGGCTCCTTGGCCAATCCTTGTTTCTTTCTGGCTGCTAGCTGCGTCATGTTTTGTTTCTGCTTTTGACAGCACTTTAATGACAACACTTGCAGCCATTCATGGGCAATGTAAGAAGTAAGCAAGGTGACCTGTTCTTGTGGAAGACCCTGCGGTTGAGGCTTTGGCGTAACCGATGCCTAAGACTAATTTGACGAAGAACACATACCACTCGAAAATCATGGAATATTTGTTGAGCGTACTTGTTGTCCGGGGTCCACCATATACAATAGTATACAAGTACTCAGCAGACCACCAGGACCTACCCACAAGGTTCAAGCAGGGTCATTGTCCACTGCACAGCGCCTCTATATACTGCATTCTTATGTATATATTGCAAGGGCTCCGCCCGGGTGCCGCCGACCCCTATGTCTTTGACAACAAGGACGTCCACTTGCAAGCGACCTACGACCATCGATCCATCGATTCCTTTAGATCGATCCACCGAAGCGACAAATCCATGAACAAACAACGACACCATCTATTTCTGCCCACAAGAGCGGTCGGAACGGGGGGGGATGCAGCCAAGCAAAATGCCTGACGTCACCTGGCACGTCGCCTTCGGGAGCCCATAAAACAGTTGCCTGGCATTGCCAGAGGCTCACTCCCAAGGCTCCGGCAATCTGTGTGCCAGCGGCTCCGTCCCAAGGCTCCCGGCTGAGGTGTGCGTGTAGGCAGCATGCAGCCGGAGCGGCGTGCAAGGGGCGGGTTTCCGGGGTAGCAAACGACACCATCTATTTCTGCCCACCAGAGCGCTCGGAACGGGGGGGGTGCAGCCAAGCAAAATGCTTGACGTCGCCCTCCCAAGGCTCCGGCAATCTGTGTGCCAGCAGCTCCGTCCCAAGGCTCCCGGCTGAGGTGTGCAAGGCTCCGGCTCAAAAAAGCCAACAGCCCACGGGGTGGTGGCTCGGCCAGGACATGAACCGCCCACGGCTTGGTGGTAGTGCCAGGACATGAAAGCAGAGGTAGAGGATGCCAATGCCAGGACATGAAAGCAGAGGTAGAGATGCCAATGCCAATGCCAATGTTGCACCCTGCGGTGTCTCGGGCGCCTCCCCGCCTAGGCTTTGGCTAGGCCGGGGTCGGCGGATATATATTATATATATATACACACATACATGAGCAATAACGAAAAACATATTCATTGTGTATGTACACACACACACGCGCGCGCGCGCAACGACACATGCAGCGCACGTGCTCATGAAATCTACATTGACTCTGGCGTAGACCCGTTTGTTGGGTACAAAGGGTCCACATGTGTACGCGCACTCCACATGTGCATTTCGTGCGTTTGATTTCCACATGTGCATTCATTTCCAGCAAACAGTATTCATATCTATCATCTCACCCTATTGATGACTCTAAAGTTAAGTCATTCAATCTGTGGTCACTGCAGATTCCCGAAGTATATAGGTGAAGAAGGTAGCAAGCCGCAGTCACATTGAGCAACTCTGCTATATTTCTTGGAACTTCGAACAACGCATGTCCAATGCACCCGTCTCGCTTAGAGTTTGGCTTCCTTTCATTTCTATGATATTGAGAAAGTACGCCTCTCAAAACCTCTCCGTGTGCTGTCGAGGTGGGTGCTGTAGCGACAATGAAGGACGAGATGGCCAAATGGGACAGCCAACGGAAGATCTACGAGGTCAGGTATACCTGTCACTTACCCCGTGAATGTGTCACCACACTTTGATCTTCCGCTGATTTGGGGCAGAAGGTCTCACCTTAGGACACAAAGGGGACCTTGAAATGCCGTACACTTTGATTCTGCCCTGAACCCTGTAGATTCCAATGGATCCTACCCTACTACCGGTGACCAGTCTTACAAATGCAAGAGGTAAAAGTCGCTCGCATGTTATTTATATATACATATTTATACAAGGATTAAAGGATTATTCGTGGTGGGTTTGACCCCCAGCCTACACTGTCCCTACTCCACTGTAACGTAGAGCACATTGCATTTCTTGTTTGAGAAATCATATATTTGCACTGTTCGTGATGGATGTATTTGTATATATATATATATATATTAATATAGAGTCCGGTTTTTTGTCAGAGTGCGCTGTTTTATGATTTTAAGTAGTGTTATTAGTATGTATTATGGCAAAGTTTTGGCTGAGACAAGTGATATCTGATAGCAAGTAGGACAACAAGCATGGCAGATGCAGGGGGGCTAGGCCTTGCAAGAGAACTAGGTGCTCCCAGAGCAACCCAGCTTTATGTATAATAATTTTCGTGTGTTTTTGTAGGTTTATTTTTTATAATAAATATTTTTAGTGTATATGTAATTCTGTTTAAATGCACATACTTTATGTTGAGTGCATTGAAATGATGTAAGGATGGTGCGCTCACCTTTGATGAAGCAATTTTGCAGGTCACCGGCAACAAACTGATAGGTCCAGAACCAAAAACCATACAAAACCATGCGTGACGGAGGTCAACGCCAATGATGGAAAACTCGAACAGTTCTGTGACATCAGTCTGAATGAAAAGTGGGATCAAGAGGATGACTTCTTCGAAGCCACCATCTTCAAGCACGTCATGGAGAACGAGTACAACAACCTTCCGCCTCCCTTTTGCTTGAAAGCAGCGCCTCCAGTCCCATTCCTTACACAGATCATTGTAGTCCCAGTTTCCTCCCCAGAGGAAGCAGAGGACCCACTCAGATGTGCTTAGATCTGTGTGTCACAAATTCCACTGGGGCAACCACTTCAGGACTGGGCAGATTGCCGTCAAATATATGTTCAATCTCATGGCTAACTTCCAAATTCGCTTTTGGTCGATCCAACCCAAAATGCAAAAGAAGAATACGATTGATCATATGGCCTATGGCCAGGGAGGAGATTCATCCGGGAAAAGGGGCCGCGCAGCAACAATCGCAACCAGTTCATGGAGTGGACTGACGAGCAAATACATACACCCGGAAGCCCAATTGAAAATTGGCACGAAGCTAAGGTGGTCACCGCCTTGCAAAACTACATGACGGGGCGGCAAAATGCAAAGACCTTGGAATACTGGCCTTTCACCTTGCGCAGTTTCAAGCCTTGGTTCTTCAACGAGGTCTTGCTCCCGATGCTTGGATCTATCCGGCAGCACGCTATCACATGGATCGGGAAAACAGGCGCAGGCAAATCGCTCGGATCCGAGACCGTACTCTTCGCGCAGAGCAAATTTGAGATCCAACAAGATGAACGTGCAGACTTAATCCCATCCATTGTCGCCGCGAAGCACCTCGATTCTTCAAGGCAGAACCTCTGACTAAGTATAAGCCAGGTGTGTTCGATGACGGCCAGATGCAGAAGAATTATTCCACTCACTCACTCACTCACTCACTCACACCCAGACTCACTCGCACCCACCTTCACTCTCACTCTCTCACACTCACACTCACACTCACTCTCATTCACTCACTCACTCTCACTCTCACTCTCACTCACACTCACTCTCATTCACTCACCCTCACTCTCACTCTCACTCTCACTTTCACTCTCACTCTCACTCACTCTCACTCACACTCACACTCACCTTCAGTCCCACTCATACTCATACCCACTTTCACTCTCACTCTCACTCACTCTCACTCTCACCCACACTCATTCTCACTCACACTCGCACTCACACTCACTCTCCCACTCTCACTCACACTCACACTCCCTCTCACCCACACTCACTCACACCCGCCTTCACTTCATCACCACCATCACCTCTCTGGACCCCAATGCGTCTAGATCTCTAGACCCTAGACTTTCTGCTTACAGACCTCACACGCACACTGTTTGGGGCCTCTTGCCGGGATAATTGTTTTTTGTGTTTTTTGGAGACCCAAGATTCCCAAACCTCTGGAAAATTGTATTTTTTGTATTTATGAATACTCAAAGCATCTGGTCATATCTGAAATGTCTCTATCTGTTGCAAAAATTTCAGAAAAACATCTGCAAATCAAGGGAAAACCGCACTCTCAGGGACACCCGTTCTGTTAATATCTTAGCCATTAGTTGTATGTGTATATATACATGTATACACTGAAATCACTTGAAGGAATAAAGTCAAGCAGCTGACCTTCAAGACTGCTACGTAGATTCTAGCATCAATGACGTTGAACAAATCCCGGTGGATGTTTGGTGCTGGTGCCGGTGAGATTGTGTGAGGCCGCAGTGGATGAAAGCTTGGAAGCAATGCGCCACAAGCTTGACTCGCAGCGTGTGCCCAGCTTGGTTAAAGCCATGCGTTCTTTGAGAAACGATCACAAACAGCCACGTTCCTGTGAACAATCACATGCCCTCTCTTGAAGGGACAATGTGGAGGAGGTGCCTTCTTTACCCTCAAGCAAACTATGAACCAAGATCAATACATTCCTTTACGTGACAAGATTGTGTTTTAGGCTTGACCGGCGGGATGCACATTTTTTTCCAGAGCAAGCATTCACCACAACTACAAGACCACATTTGACCGAGACACGACCTTATCTCGTTTGAAAGAGGCCATCGTGAATGTTTCAGACTTGGGGGGCCACTTCTTTAGATAGCCCGGAGTAGTTGACAATGCATGGCTCTTGAGTTCTGAGACCACTTGATGTCACCCGCGTTGGGCAACACACCGGGGTTGCAGGGATAGTTGCAGAGCTTGTAGTTGATCGTTCAGGCAAAAATGAAGAGCCTGTGAGTTTCATTGTTATCTCATACATAATTCTGAGATAGATTGGTGCTGGCCAGGTTTCGCCCTTGAGCAGAAGGAGTGAGGCACTAAGATTTGAGCTGTGAGCAAAGAGCTAGACTTGTGACCTCTTCGGGAAAGGGGTCTTGCTCTGAGTGGCCGGAAATCACTTTTTTCCTGAACTGTTCATTGACAATTGAGAAGTCTAGTAGCGTCCTTGCTCCTAGTAGACAATTCTTTCAGACAGAGATTATACTGTTTCTAAATATGGGACTAGGTCTGGCTTACTCAGTGAGCGTACTTCAGCGCTAGTGCAGATGAGGACTCTGGTCGGTTTAAACTAGGGTTTCAAATTCATAGTCGCCATTCAAAACGTTTGTCACAACCTCAATATTGTCAAATATGTTCTGAATTGCTTGCAGGGCCCAGTGGTTTGCTTGCAGGGCCCAGTGGTTTAGCACCCGGGCCTTGCAGGGCCCAGTGGTTTAGCACCCGGGCCTGATGGTTACGGTGTTGGCTTCCGGAGAAGGACTAAAGATAAGAGGCTGTTGACTCGCTTACTCATGGTTGCATCAGTCTTATCTCTACTAATTACTGCTGCCCACTGCTGCTGCTACTACTAATAAAGTAATCATATTACTACATTGCTACTATATTACTACAGTATATTTCTATTACCATTACGACTACTACTGCCAATTCATATTACAACTGCTAGGAACTCTTCAGTAGTACAAGCACTGCTGCTACAGCTGGCTCGAGCACTGGATGACTCAGCAGAGCTGGAAGTCTCAAGTTCTTGATTTATGCGGGTTGCACGGCGGAAATAGCTTGTTATTCTTACACATGACTCTTCACATACTTAGTTACTAAAACTTCTTGACTTTTTTTACATTGAGCGAAACAAGTATTGTTTTCGTGCGTAGTTTGACTCAAAAACAGCAGCCGCTGGGGGCACCTAGGTCGAATATCTTCGAATACAAGACAATAGATTGAGTAGCTTCACATAGAAACGTGCCACCAACCGCTTGTAAGCCTGCAAAGAGGCTGCCTCTTTGTGTTCCCACCTTTTGCAAGATCAACACTGTTCTTGCATTGAGGTCCACCTTGCACCACCTGAACCGCAACTTGGACCGCGTTGCCAGCGAGGTGAATCGATTGCTCGAGGCCCATGTTGGTCACCATTGGAGACACAAGCAAATGGGATGCGCCTGTGCAATCCCTAAATTAGCTGGACTCTTGGAATCTCTGGTTTAATATGAGGTCATTGGTTTGATGCGGCAACTTGCTCACCACAACATCAACAACGGTATAGCACTGAGCACTGGCCAGACATGCCTTGGTGTTCTCACTGTGTGTCTCCGCATCTTTGTTTCCCACGATTTGATAGGCAAATCTTTGAGAGTTCCAAGCTGCTGATAAAATTAAGCAATTACAGTAGAGGCTATGAGAGGGCGTAGCGGCATGGCATAGCACTCGCTTGTGCATGCAGAAAACGACTGGCTTGTACATGCGGCCAGCGAAATGCTCGTACTCGCGCACGCCGAATGCCATTTTACTCAAAGTGGTGAGGGAGGCGGGCCCATGCAACTCGTTTCTCGCACACTGGCCTTGAAACAATGAAAGGCTATGCGCAACGAAGTGAAAAGGAACAACCTTCAATATGGCGAATCGATGGAACCCGGAGTATCATTTTGGCTCTTTTGGCCTGGCTGTTTCCATGGAAACGCAGTTGCATTGAGGATAGTTGCACTCAGTCCTGCAAAGCAGCAATCACTACATGTAATCTAAGATGCATTGACTGCGCAGGGTAGGTGGCGCCTGCTTTACACATGCCCCAGCCCATCCGCTTCTGAGCCCCAAGGGGCTACTACTCATCACATAATGTGTTTCAAAAGTGTGGATGGACCCCCAAACACTATAAGTCCGCAAAAATGTATGTGACCCATGCCCTCAAAAGGGAGCAAAGTGGAAACCCCTCGTTTTTGATAGCGGGGGGGCTTTCCGGCCCGTACTCTTCGCTACTTTCTCTTCGAACGTCACGAACGTCACAAAGCTTCGTGGTAGTGGTGGGTGGGTGGAATGGGGGGTGGGGGCTGGCGGGAAGACGTGCTTGTTGCGATGATGCTTGGCAGTGCACAATGCCAAGCCACCTCAAGAGAGTGCAGCTTGCATCCTTGCCACCGGCGCTTTGACAAAGCTTTGCGCCCGGTCGGTCGCGGTCGTGGGTCGGCTGGCTGCATTGATAAGGGCTGCTTCTACGCCTCTTTGGCTACCGAAGTAAGCCTGAACACATGCGTTGCAACCATGCAGTGTATGCGGCAGGATGTCATCCGGCTGTGCAAGCGCACTCTTGCACCATCGATGCTTTGTGGAAGCGTTTGAAAGATCATGTGTGGGGCCCGGGCCTTGAAAATCAGATGCCGGAAGCGAGCAGTGAATGCGTTGTTGATGCCGTATGCGTGTCAATGGCAATGGAGGTACGCGAGCCAAAACCGTGGCCGTGGCCTGCCACTGTTGAAGAACGCAGGAAAAGCGACGCACAAACACCATTTGCTGAAAACCTTTGCGCCGGCGTTTGAGACCTGAAGATGCTGAAAGATGCGGTCAGACGGCCAGAAAACCGCCCGCACGGCTGTTCTTCCATTTGTTCACAAGCGAATCTCCAAACTCCCCACCCCATAACACATGCCACGGAAGCAAAACGCTGATGTGGATGCAACTAGAGAATTCACTAGTATACAATTTCTTGAGGCTCAAAGCTCAAGTCTACTTGATAGTATAGAAGCACCATCGTCAACAGTTGATCTTCCCACTGAGTTTCTATTGAGTGATCACGCAACAGCTTCAAAAACTAGGACACACAAGCTTTTTGAGACTCTTACCATGTGCCAAGTTCTTCTGCCGGACACCGGTCACAGCTGAGAGGAAACGCATTTGACGAACAAAAATAATATTGCAGTGACCTGGCAGGACCAAGATGCTGTGAGGGAGGTTTGCGAATCTCGGGTCGCGCGGGCACACAGTCCACGTGGAACTTGCGACATGGAGATTTAGGTATGTCGTGATAGTATTTTTCACCTTGTTAGGTGCACATGGCCCCTAAATGTCATGTGTGGCATGACATTTTTTTTGCAAGCACGTGCCAAACCGGTATAGGTCCAACAATGCAATAAAAATATACAGTACATAGTACATACATGTACATACCAAGATGACACTGGATTCAAAGCTGCAACAAACACATGTTGTTCCACTTCCTTTCCACGTCAGTTTTGAGGATGAGCAGAGCAAGAGGCTCACCCTTTTCAAAGCTGAGAGCGAGGTGCGGTCATCCAAGACCCAGCTCAATTCACTCAAGGTTAAACTGGACGAAAAGAATGAGTCAAATCCCCATAATATGTTTGTGACAACAAAGCCAACCAACAATTGGGATTGATTGATTTGGAGGAGTTGGGGTGGCCAACAGCGAAAGTCAACTTGCATGGCCTGAAACATAGGCAACATGTTGTAAACGTTTTTTCTAGATTATTGTCATGCAGTTATGCAAGTTTGGTTGAGTGGCGGACATTTGCCAGCCCTTGCACTGGCCTTGTTCCGTGGTCCATTGAAGTTTGTTTGGTTTTTGCCCAAAAGAAATGTCTACTAATAGGACTTGACTTGCCTACGCGAAATCAAGAGGCTTTCGGGGGCCCGCGGCAAGGCCCGTTGGCGAAGGTTGCTTCGAACATCTTTGAACTGCCAGGTGCGCTTTGCCCGCATGGAGAGGCAGCACAATGCCTTGAGTGACGAGCTTTGGGGAGATGAGCTGGGATTGGCGAAGGCAAGGAGGGTAAGGGATGTTTATTGATTGTGGATGCCTTGGTTTGCAACAAATCACAAACCTCAAATCAAGCTTGAGTACCCAAAGGCTTTGCTTGGCCAGTTCCCAGTGCTCAAAGATGACATTCTGGTTGCAGCACAATCTTTCATTGTTTGATGTTTGTCTCTACAATTCATGTCATGAGAACCAGACCAGGCACATTGTGATTTTTCCCAGATACTTGAAATATAAATACTGATTTTCGCCAAGCTGAACCAAGCGCTCCTTTTGCAATCCGCACGTGATGGTTGAAAAACTATATATATGATGTGCGCACGCACGCGTGCGCGAGTCTCTCTCTCTCTCTCTATCTCTCTCTTTCTCTCTCTCTCTCTTTCTTTCTCTCTCTCTCTCTCTCTCTGTCTCTCTGTCTGTCTCTCTCTCTGTCTCTCTGTATCTCTCTCTCTCTCTCTGTATCTCTCTCTCTCTCTCTCGGGGTCCATTAATGTTAGTCCCTTCTAGATTCCTAGGCATCAAAAGTTTGAAGAGCTTGTTTCTGTCTATATACATAAGGCAGATTGCAGACGATAAGTACGCACCAGGAGCATGCATGGGTCACTATTTGATATTGATCTAGCCGCTAGCATTTCGATGAAAGCTTCCTGTGGCGCTCGCAGGTGGCTGGAGAACTCAAAAAGACCAACGCAACCTTCGGGAAGTTGGAGGACCTGCCCGAGCAGAATGCTGACATAGCAGCGTCAAACGCACGGTGAGCACAAAGTTAGTGCTGTCCTTGGCAAGGAGGTGGATAACTGGCGCCTGTCGGTCAGGTTGCCTCCTAGTTTTGTTTGCCAGGCAAGCTCCCTATGTGTTGGGGAAGTGTACGTTCATAGACTCATCATGTCAAACTTAACTTTTGATTGAGTACGAGTGAAACCTTCCAAATTTATTCTTTAAACTGACTTTTGCGCATACCGGGTGACAAGCCATGTCAATAAATGGCAGACAGCATTAAACCATTTTGCCGTACTGTCTACTCAGCTGAGAATGCTTGTTCCTGCAGGACGCAGTGGCAGCACTGCAGGAAGAGAAAGCTGAAGCTGTGCAGTTGGAGAAGCTTAGAGCAGATGTGGGCATCCGACCTGTTTTGATCCAGAATCCAGAGATGTTTTTACGCTTGGCATGAGACTTTGCAAACCAATTGGCCGGGACCTAGGAAGAATCCAGGTTTGCTGAACAAGACAACAAATCCTGCGGTAACATGGCGAGCTTTATAACTTGAACTTTAATGAATACGTAAAACGATGGGTATGGTACGGCTGGGTGTTCAGTGATCCTTGAAGCAGCAGACATCTCCCTTGGATGTTTGCTGTGTTTAGTCTTGCGCTGATTGGTTTGTGATCAAAGGCAACTTGAATGTTTTGGGCTTAAAATTAAAACAAGCATTCACTATTTGTGTCACCAGTCTGACTATGAGAAGAACCCGATGCTTCCAAAAGTGTTGCTGGAATCGCTTGTGCCTCAAACAGTTCAATTAGTGTTGTTCCAGTCTGAAACTGCCAGGTCGCAAAGATGGTTCATGAAGCAAACACCGCCACGTCGCAAATGCGGCAGACTGTGGGAGAGGCAGTGAATGGTGCAGGTGGTGGATACTCGGATACAGTCATCATGCAGCTATAAGAATAGTAGTAGTGCTTCGAGGCTTCCAGGCCGTGCAGCATTGAGTACACCGCTGAAGGGACTATGCACCCCCAAATCGTGAATTATTCAGAAAATGCCTAGCTGCTTATCCAGCCCTTTATCAAACCCAGGCAAAAGGGAGGTGTGATGCTCATTATAATCCGTTATACTATATTGCATCTCACACCAGAAGGAGACTCTGATGGGAAAACGCAGGTTATGATGCTTCTGTTCTGCTAGTTGTAATGTATTATGACACCGCACTGTGACTCAGTGATCGATAACCCTATTGCAATTGTAAGGGCTTCGCCCGGGTGCCGCCGACCCCTTTTCAGGAGGAGTGTAACATGTGAAACTAAAGTTTTTGTGTTCCGGTGGTGGCCCGTCTGTGGAGAGAAGGTAGGAGGCTGCAGCTAGGGAGTGCAAGTACTGTGCACGGTCGTGGCGGGCTGGGGTGTTGCAGGGGCAGTGGTTTGGACAGGACTTGACGAGTGGGGAGGTTTGGGGAGTTCAATGGCCACCTGGCCAACAAAGGACAATGCGCGCGGATCGGTGAGCGTTTGTGAGGGCCTTGCCTGGCAGCTCAGAGCTGACGAGGGGAGGCTTGCGGTGATGCAGCCCAGGTGTTGACATCACTGCTTCTTACGAAGGGTCGCTGGTCTGTGGGCGTGGTCCGGTGTTTGCACGGTGGCAGTTAGAATCCCTCAAGTCCACCGCGGACGATCGACGAAAAGCTAACGTCTGTCCGTGGACGGAAGAGATGAGACGGAAGATGGGCGTGGACGGGGGTAAGGAGGAGAAGAGGGAGGGGTACGATGTGGGGCGAATGCTTGGCGGTGGACGGAAGGGGCGTGCTAGTCTCACGAACCTGAAGGTAGGAAATGCAAGTACTATGCACGGTCGTGGTGGGCTGGGGTGCTGCAGGGGCAGTGGAGGTGACATGACTGGATGAATTTGGATGTGGGGGATTCCCATATTCCCATGGCCATCTGGCCAACAAAGGACAACGCACGCGGATCGGTGACCGTTTGCGAGGGCCTGGCCTGGCAGCTCAGAGCGGATCAGGCGAGGCCTGCGGTGATGCAGCCCAGGTGCTGACACCACTGCTTCTTACGAACGGTCGCTGGTCTGTGGGCGTGGTCCGGTTAGAATCCCTCAAGTCTTCCGCGGACGAGCGACGAAAAGCGAACGCCCGTCTGTGGACGGAAGAGATGCGACAGAAGATGGGCGTGGACGGGGCGGAGGATAGAACAGGGAGGGGCGCGATGCGGGGCGAAGGCCCGTCTGTGGGACGAGCGACGAAAGAGGGGCGTGGACGGGGCGGGGGCGCTGGGAAGGGTTTGAGGGCGCCTGGACGTTGCCTTCGGAACCCTAAAGAAAAGAGGTGGCAGCTTCCAGAGGCTCAGTTCTAAGGCTGCAGTAGCTCAGTTCTAAGGCTACAGTGCACGGGCTGCACGCCTGACGCAGGCAAGGCTGCGATGCAGGAGTAGACCGAAGGCGCTGGGAAGGGTTTGAGGGCGCCTGGACGTTGCCTTCGGGACCCTAAAGAAAAGAGGTGCAGGCCGAGGTGGCAGCTTCCAGAGGCTCAGTTCTAAGGCTGCAGCGCGCGGGCTGCATCTTTCAAATCTTCCTCCCCAGGCTCCCGCCTGACGCAGGCAAGGCTGCGATGCAGGAGTAGGCCAAAGGCACTGGGAAGGGTTTGAGGGCGCCTGGACGTTGCCTTCGGAACCCGAAAGAAAAGAGGCGCAGGCCGAGGCGGCAGCTTCCAGAGGCTCAGTTCTAAGGCTGCAGTAGCTCAGTTCTAAGGCTGCAGTGGCGGGCTGCACGTTCCAGAGGCTTCCTCCCCAGGCTCCCGCCTGACGCAGGCAAGGCTGCAGTGCAGGAGTAGGCCGAAGGCGCTGGGAAGGGTTTGAGGGCGCCTGGACGTTGCCTTCGGAACCCTAAAGAAAAGAGGTGGCAGCTTCCAGAGGCTCAGTTCTAAGGCTGCAGTGGCTCAGTTCTAAGGCTGCAGTGCACGGGCTGCACGTTCCAGAGGCTCCCTCCCCCAGGCTGGGGAGGAAGCCTCTGGAACGTGCAGCCCGCGCACTGCAGCCTTAGAACTGAGCCTCTGGAAGCTGCCACCTCGGCCTGCACCTCTTTTTTTTAGGGTTTGAGGGCGCCTGGACGTTGCCTTCGGAACCCGACGGAAAAGAGGTGCAGGCTGAGGTGGCAGCTTCCAGAGGCTCAGTTCTAAGGCTGCAGTAGCTCAGTTCTAAGGCTACAGTGCACGGGCTGCACGCCTGACGCAGGCAAGGCTGCGATGCAGGAGTAGGCCGAAGGCGCTGGGAAGGGTTTGAGGGCGCCTGGACGTTGCCTTCGGAACCCTAAAGAAAAGAGGTGCAGGCCGAGGTGGCAGCTTCCGGAGGCTCAGTTCTAAGGCTGCAGTGCACGGGCTGCACGTTCCAGAAGCTCCCGCCTGATGCAAAGGCTGCGGGGCAGGAGTCGGCCAAACGTGCGCTGGGGGCCTAAGCCAAAGGTGCCCCGCCTAGGCGTCAGCTAGGCAGGGGTCGGCGGATTAGGTTTCAATTATCCTGTACTGCAAGTTCGTTTGAAGTTTGTGTAGAAGGATTGCTATTGTGCGGCCAGGTGGTAAACGATGTGCGTGAGCACTTCAGGACCGCCTCGCAAACAATTGCTTCTCACAACGCGAGCTTTGTGAAGCAAGTCCGTGAAGAGTATCAGGCGATGGTGCAAGATGTCGCTGCATTGTGAGCTTGCTGGATGTGAGCGGTCGGGAAATCTAAAGTTGCTCTTCCGACTGATTGGCTTAATGGTTGATCGTACGAAATAAGTTTTTGTTGGCGATACTAATTTCTATCGATTGGAGATTTAATTGGAGCCTGACTGACTGGCTTGGATTCTGGGGCATTCAATTCGCGGTTGCAGTTTTACTATGTTCCTTTGTTTGTGGTTGCGGTATGCTTTGTCTCATACATCAACGATCAGCCTGTATTCTGTTTTCAGACCCCACAGCCCAGCTTCTCACCTTCGGAGGCAGAGCTGAAGAGTTCAGCCCAGCTACGAGAAGAGGTCAGCTCGAAGATAAAGCTTGGAGATTTGCTGTGACCATGCACCGTGGTCAGTCACTGTCCACCCAACCTTGGGCCAACTGGGCTGCTTGCAAAGGGCATGGGAATTGCATCACCACATACAGCTACAGTATTTTTCCTTGAACTCCTAAGCGGCTGTTTGGGAAACCTAAATGGTGATGAACCAACTCAATTCTTTGAGGAGTTGTCAAGAACGAATGGGCAATGTGTATTGTATGTCGGTTTGTCAGTTTGCCAGTCATTGGCAGTTTTTTCGACGCCGAGGTAACATCAGAAGTTTGGATGTTTTTTGTGTGAAAGGATTTTTTGGTTGTGTCGAGTCTATATAGTGTAGTGTCATGTGTGTTGATGTGTGTTTGGTTTCAGAAAGCAGACTGACAGGCAAGCTTCTCATCAACTTAGCAATAAGTTCCACGCAGTGCTCAGATTGTCTCAATGCAGGGTCACACCCTGTATATAATTAAACAGAATTGAATCCAACATCACCCAGCCATTACATTTGATGTTTCTTACTACTGGCGGTTGACTTTGAGAAGTGTTTTCAATTGTTGGATTGAATGCGATCCTCATCCTTTGCCGCTGCTCCCAGCCAAAAATTCCACATTGCACTTGCTGCACTTCAAGATGTCCATGCACACACACACACTGTTTTTTCTTTGATTTTGAACTTTGAATTGAAGCCCTACCTCGCATTGCACCGCGCTGGAGAGTGCTGAGCTCCGGCACAGGTGAAAAACTTCATGAACCGTGCCTCACAAAGCGTGGAGAGTTTGGAGCTCCGTGTGGACGAAGTGGCTTCAAAGGCAGAAATTGCATGGTCCACTGGAATTCTACATGCTTCGGAGGAATCAATTGAAATTATTTTGAATGTTCCTCCTTCAAGTCTCTCGAGGGGCAACTTCACCCACCCGGAAATCACTACGTATCAATTAAGAAAGCTCTTGATTGGTTCATATCGGTTCCCTCTTGACTCTTGCTTGCTTCATTTTCCTTTCAACTGGTCATCCTTTACATTGACCTCCTTCCTGTCCTTTTTATTTGCTTGTCCTTTTCCTTTTCCTGTCCTATTCTTTTGTCCTTTTGATTTTCCTTGTCCTTTTGTGCTCACCTTTTTTGGCTCGCTTTTGATTCTCCCTTTTCATTGCGTGGCAGGTTTGTTATGTGACTATTTTAAGACGCATCTCACGCCACTGTTGTCATGCATTTGAAGCCATTGGCCCATTGTTGAGATGTTTCAAGCCAAGGAGGGTACTAGTATGGACGCAGGATCGCTCATGCTCGCACCAATGATTTGGTTCATGTTTTGGGAAACTTATCTGGACGTGGTTGGATGCTAGCTTGGATTTGTCGATATTTAACTGTTGCTCAGGGCACTTTGGTCACTCACAAAGAATCCCCTGCCGCGCACGCAGGCGAATGCTCTAGCGGCTGAAGCTCGTGAGGAACTGGAGGAGAGACACGCACGGTGCGTGCATCAGTTTGCCCTGCAAACTTGATGTTTTCATCTCCATGACTGAAATGCAAGTTGCTGCTTCATCACATCTGCGCCAGTGGCGAGGAGCTCAATCGTCGGAGGAAAAGAGACAAGACCTCAGCGGACAATGAGCGGCTTAGATTGCAATCGGTTTCAAGGTAGAATTGCTCGGTAGTATTGCAATGGTTTGGCGACTAGCAACAGTGTCTCCCTCACGCGAACGCATATCCTGGATAGACCGGGATAGACCTATGCCATGAGTGCCATTTACTGGTTGGTGCCATGCATGCTTTTCCACCCCGTGGGCATTGCTCAACAGCATTCCGTCCCTAGTGACCCCGTGTAGCGGCGGAACACATGAAACACTTCGGATACATAAGATGTTTCAGATGTCAAAAATAAGTGGCGCAACTTCAAGTTGGAGGAGAGCGCCATCTACCCACCCAAAAATGAATTCCAGGCCACAAGAAATATTGCTATTGCGGCGGCAGGACTTGTCAGTGCCAAAAATGATGCGCCATCTACTTGGCAAAAATTGTGGTTGGTTGCTCCACGATGCGCCATCTACTTGGCTCAAACTTCCTCGATGTGGAATCTGCGTTGCTAAAACTCGTGCCTGGTTTTTCCGCTGCAGTTGTCCAGCCAAATAACAAAAGGATACAAATTGGAAGGATTTCATTGATGTTTTTTCAAAATTTCCTTCAAACAGACTCCAAACATCAATGGAAGGAGCGAATTCTACAGTAATTAAAATTTTAGTGTTACTAGTAGTAAGGCACTTGTTTCTAATAGCTTCTTTGTTACTACTAGTAAGGCACCTGTTACTACTAGCGTGGCACCTTGTTACTAGTAGATTCCTTTAATGGGAGAGACACCGTGTCTTGCTGCGGGCAACAGTGTCTTGCTTGGCACGTCGAGTTGCGCCATCTACCTTCGCTGACTGTGTGGGTATGTGCAAGTTACTGGCGCAACTCTTTTCTTTCCTTCTCTCTCTCTCTCTCTCGCTCTCTCTCTCTCTCTCTCTCCTCTCTTGTTCTTCTCTCCTCTTTTTTGTTTTCTGTTTCTGTTTTTGTTTCTCTCTCTCTCTCTGTCTTTCTTTCTGTCTGTCTGTCTTTCTTTCCTTTCTTTCCGTCCTTTCCTTTCCTTTCATTTCCTTTCCTTTCCTTTCCTTCCTTTCCCTCCTTTCCTTTCCTTTCCTTCCTTTCCTTTCCTTCCTTTCATTCCTTTCCTTTCCT